CTGCTCTGTGTGTGGGGGGGGGTTCCGCTCTGTGTGAGGGGGTTCCGCTCTGTGTGTGTGGGGGGTTCCGCTCTGTGTGTGTGGGGGTTCCTCTCTGTGTGTGGGGGTTCCGCTCTGTGTGTGTGGGGGTTCCGCTCTGTGTGGGGGGTTCCGCTCTGTGTGGGGGGTTCCGCGCTGTGTGTGGGGGTTCCGCTGTGTGTGGGGGTTCCGCTCTGTGTGGGGGGTTTCCTCTCTGTGTGTGTGGGGGGTTCCGCCCTGTGTGTGGGGGGTTCCGCCCTGTGTGTGGGGGGTTCCGCCCTGTGTGTGGGGGTTCCGCCCTGTGTGTGTGGGGGGGGTTCCGCTCTGTGTGTGTGTGGGTTCCGATTCCGCTCTGTGTGGGGGGGGGGTTCCGCTCTGTGTGTGTGTGGGTTCCGATTCCGCTCTGTGTGTGGGGGGGTTCCGCTCTGTGTGTGTGTGGGGGGGTTCCGCCCTGTGTATGGGGGGTTCCGCCCTGTGTATGGGGGGTTCCGCCCTGTGTGTGTGTGGGGGGGTTCCGCTCTGTGTGTGTGGGGGGGGTTCCGCTCTGTGTGTGTGGGGGGGTTCCGCCCTGTGTGTGTGTGGGGGGTTCCGCTCTGTGTGTGTGTGGGGGGGTTCCGCTCTCTGTGTGTGGGGGTTCCGCTCTCTGTGTGTGGGGGTTCCGCTCTCTGTGTGTGGGGGTTCCGCTCTGTGTGGGGGGGAGTTCCGCTCTGTGGGGGGGGTTCCGTTCTGTGGGGGGGTGTTCCGCCCTGTATGTGGGGGTTCCGCACTGTATGTGTGGGGGTTCCGCTCTGTGGGGGTGTTACACCCTGTGTGTGGGGGGTTCTGCTCTGTGTGGGGGTTCCGCCCTGTATGTGGGGGTTCTGCTCTGTGTGTGGGGGGGTTCCGCCCTGTGTGTGGGGGGGTTCCGCTGTGTGTGGGAGTTCCGCTCTGTGTGGGGGGTTTCCTCTCTGTGTGTGGGGGTTCCGCCCTGTGTGTATGGGGGTTCCGTCCTGTGTGTGTGTGGGGGGGGTTCCCGCCCTGTGTGGGGGGGTTCCCGCCCTGTGTGGGGGGTTCCGCTCTGTGTGTGTGGGGGTTCCGCTCTGTGTGGGGGGGGGTTCCGCCCTGTGTGTGGGGGGAGTTCTGCTCTGTGTGGGGGTTCCGCTCTGTGTGTGGGGGGGTTCTGCTCTGTGTGGGGGTTCCGCTCTGTGTGTGAGGGGGTTCCGCTCTGTGTGTGGGGGGTTCCCGCCCTGTGTGTGTGGGGTTCCCGCCCTGTGTCGGGGGGTTCCGCTCTGTGTGTGTGGGGGTTCCGCTCTGTGTGTGGGGGGGTTCCGCCCTGTGTGTGGGGGGGTTCTGCTCTGTGTGGGGGTTCCGCTCTGTGTGTGTGGGGGTTCTGCTCTGTGTGGGGGTTCCGCCCTGTGTGTGTGGGGGTTCCACCCTGTGTGTGTGGGAGTTCCGCTCTGTGTGGGGGGGTTCCACTCTGTGTGTGTGGGGGGAGTTCCGCTCTGTGTGTGGGGGTTCCGCTCTGTGTGTGGGGGGGTTCCGCTCTGTGTGTGGGGGGGGAGTTCCGCTCTGTGTGTGGGTGGTTCCGCTGTGTGTGTGGGGGTTCCATTCTGTGTGGGGGTTCCACTCTGTGGGGGGGTTCTGCTGTATGTGTGGGGGTTCTGCTCTGTGTGTGGGTTCCGCTCTGTGGGGGGGTTCTGCCGTATGTGTGGGGGTCCGTATGCGTGTGAAGGGATGGGCAGGATTTATTGCTAGAACATTCGCACGTGGCCACCCCCCCTCCCGCCCCCCGTGCCTCTTCACAGCGGTGCCCGGAGGCTCCGTCCACCCGGCCTCCTGTCCCTCCCTGGCAGGGCGCGGTCCCGCCCCCTAAAATCACACCTGACTTCCCACGCAGCGCCCCACCTCTGTGGAGAGTCGTGCCTGCTCTCTGCCCCTCTCAGCTCAGCTCCTTGAAAGACGAGTTCTCCAGGCTGCGCCTCCTTCCAGCCCCCCTCCCGCCACCCTCCCTGATCTGGCTCCTGCCCTGCCAGCTCCAGCCTCCTCAAGGCCAGCGAGCCACCCAGCACCCCCGTGGCCGTATCTCGCTGGGCTCTCTGCCCAGGGCCTCCTCTGGACGCCTTCCTCCCCAGCTCTCCCACCCCCCCCCCCCCACACACACACACACGCGGCCCCTTCGAGGCAGGGCTCCACAGCGCGGTCCCAGCAGCCTCCTGAGTGAAGGGACATGCCACCCCCCACCCCCCACACCACGATGGCCTGTTACCCTCTGAGCACTGCATCTCCCACAATCCTTAGCTTTTAAAAAATATATTTTATTGATTTTGTACAGAGAGAAAGGGAGAGAGATAGAGAGTCAGAAACATCGATGAGAGAGAGTCATCAATCAGCTGCCTCTTGCACATCCCCTACTGGGGATATGCCCGCAACCAAATCGAACCCGGAATCTCTTGACCCAAATCGAACCCAGGACCTTTCAGTCCCCAAGCCAACACTCTATCCATTGAGCCAAACCGGTTTCAGCAATCCTTAGCTTCTTGCTCCAAACCTGTTCCTTCTCTCTATCCCCATTGCAGTGAGAAATCACCGTCCCTCCTTCCTTCAATCAATCCTGACCATCTTTCAAAGCCAGACCTCCCTGCCTCTCCAGCTCCTACTCATTTCCTGCTCCCATCAACAACAATTAAACAAGTTTCTTTTCCTTCGCAATGAAGCCAGAGGAGAGAGACTGCTGCAGACAGCTGATCTAACAAGCACGTCCTCCGAGCCTGGGGCCTCACCTCTGTTAGCATTTGGGGCGGATAACTCTCTGTTCAGCGAGGGGCGGGGCAGGCTGTCCTGTGCCGTCAGATGGTCTCTCATACGAGATGCCAGTAGCATCTTCTCCCGAGTGGCGACAACCAAGAACGTCTCCAGACAGTGCCAAAGGCCTGAGAGCCGAGATCAGCCCCCACCACCACCTCTGGCCAGGCCACCGCTCTATGCTAGAAAAGGCTTGTTAAGCATTTACTATAGAGCAGTGCTGTCCCATAGAAATACAGAGCAAGTCGTTTTAAACTTCCCAATAGCCATATTTAAAAAGCAGAAACAAGCAATGTTAATTAGTAATATATTTAACCTAATATACACTTTATCCTTGAACAACATGGGTTTGAACAGATGGGTCCATGTATGTATACATGGATTCCCCCCAATAAATACTGTAAATGCATCTTCTCTTCCCTATGACTTATTAATCACTGTGTTGTAAGAATGCAATATGTGACACATAGAACATACCAAATACATGTTACCCGGTTGTTTATGTATCAGTAAGACTTCCAGCCAACAGCAGGCTAATGGGGTTCAGTTTCTGGGGAGCCAAAAGTTATCCACCGCCCTAGGCAACCAATCGATGTGTCTTTCCCACATCGATGTTCCTCTCCCTCTCCTTCTCCCTCTCCCCTCCTCTCCTCCCTCTCCCTCCCTCTCTCTCTCTCTCTCTCTCTCTCTCTCTCTCTCTCTCTCTCTCCGGGTCTCTCTAAAAATCAATGGGGAAAATATCCCTGAGTGAGGGTCAACAACAGCACGTTACCCACAGACTCCCAACCGTGCCTCCAGCCCCTGTGCTGTCCAAGGACCCCTGTACCTTCTAGACATTATCATTTCAACATCTAGTCAACAACCACGCTGAGAGCCACAGCTGGGCTGGCTGTCTGTACCGAGCCTTCGGAAGCCACTGTGCCCGTTACCTTTACGGCTCCCGGGGCTCAGCCCGGCCAGCGTGCTCCGTGGCGGCCTCGGGGCAGTGACTCCAAACATCACCAGCGTTTATTTAACCACGACCACCTCCGTCCATTTGGCGTTTAATCCTTACGGGACCTCCGTTCTCCTGCCCACGGTGCAGGCGGGAAAACCAGGCGCGGCAGCCCAGAACTTGCCAGAGCTCACACAGTAATGACCGCAGAGCTGCCGTACCCCGTTTCCCCGTGCTACCCCCCGATACACGGCACACGGACTGCATGGCCGCTTCCCAAACCTGCTTCAAGATGGCACCCTTCCTATCCTATCTCTGAGCTCCAGTGCTGCCGGCACTGTGCCAGCCTCCTCACACCTGTGCCTGGGGTCCCCGACGTCCCCTTCCCCAGCCACTTGCACTTCTGACCTCATCTCCTCAGTCCCCAAACGCTGCCTAGCACCCTCAGTGCCCTCAGACACCCCCCGGGGCCTGAGGCCCTCCTGTCCCCTGCCTCCCATCCTCATCTCCCTCAGGGACGGCAGGACCCTGCTCTCAGAGAGCTCCGCTGGTCCACACCCCATGCTCAGCATGTGACTTCCTCCCGTGGCACATTCCTGTGCATACCTCAAGGTTCAAGCCCTCCTCCCCGGGAGGCCTCCCTTCGCCTCCAGGCCCGGGAGGGTCTCAGGGATCCCCCCCTCCCCGGGCTCTGCTGCACCCTCTGCTTCTCACTCAATGCAGCAGCAATACGGTGTATGCACCACATCCCCCTCTCCCACCCCCACCCCAATCCACCAGAGCTCCCAAGAGGCACCAGGAGAGTCCCAGGGCGCATGATCCAAGCAGCGCCTGTTCCCACCTTCCCGTCAGGCCCGGGCCCACCTTCCTGGGCCCCTGCTTAGAGGGAGTGGTAGGGAGGCCTCCGGGAGGTGTCATGGCTAAGGGAGTGGGTTGTGTGTCTCCTCAGGGGACCTCACTTTCCTTTCTGTGAAATGGGAGAGTAATGCCTGCTGTCGGCTGGCCAGGGGACAATGAGTAACATTAATATCTTTCGATAAAAAAAATCACAGGATGCCAGCACCCAGGCAGGGCGAAGAATTCGGTGGTCGGGCCTCTGCCTCCCAGCAGCTCCGGGAAGAGGGTGCTGATGGGATTCCAGTCATTCCTGCCCTGTCCTGGTTCCGGGGGCCACAGACGTTTGCGAAATGGATAAATCAGTGAAGGAATGCCTTCTTTTCAGAGGGGAATGGGAGCGTAGAGACTGGGAGACTCTGTCCACAGTCTGGGGGAGCCAGGACTCAACCTGCTCCGATCCCCAAAAGGGAGCCCTCTGTGGCCTCAGAACCTGGGCTGCGGGGGGCTGGGGCCCCGAGCCTCTCTCCACCAACCACCTTTCTTCCTCAAGCAGCTCCTTGGGGCAAGCGGCCCCGCGTGGGCCCTCATGCCAGGCTGCAGGGGGCGAGGGGCTTGAGCGGAACCCGGAGAGGGGCAGCGATCCGGACCCACACCCAGAACAGGTTGGTCTGGGAAGGCCACTAGGGAGGAAGGGCTGTGCCCAAGTGCCGCCAAGACCAGTGGGCAGGGCGAGTGGGTGGGCAGGGCGTCCCCACAGGAAGGCCCGGTCCTTAATTAACCCCTTCTTCCCCGGCAGGCCCAGCCCCCGCTCTGGCAGGTGGCCCGCGGGAGGCTGCCGGGCCTCCCATGCCGGGCACCGACCCTCCCGTCTCGTGCGGGCCTGAGCGCACCTGGCCCCCCACGGGCGTCGTGGGCCAGCCGGTCCCCTCCCCCCCCCTGGGCCCCGGCCACCGGGCGAACGGGGCGATAGGGCACCGCGGCGGCCTGGCCGGCCTCGGGGAGGCTCCGGGCGCCGCGCCGCAGGCGGGCTGGGCGGGCGGTGCCCGGCCTCCGGGAGCGCGTCCGGGGCGAAGCGGGTCCTCGCGCGCGTGACCCGAGGGTGCAAGGGAGGAGGGCGCGCAGGCCCCACGGAGACCCCGCGGCGGCGGGCCGCCCGCGCACCTGGGACCCGGGCCCGGCGCCGGCCCCACCCCCACCGCTCCGCGCCGGGGCCAAAGTCCGCGCCGCCGAGCGCCGCAGCCCGCACCCGCCCGGCCATTGTCCCGCGCCCGGCCCGGCCCGCACCTGCCGCCCCCGGTACCTGCGCCCCCGAAGGCGGCCCGCAGCACCCAGGCCAGGCTGGCCGCCGCCTTGGCGCGCGAGAAGTCGTACTGGTCCAGCGCCTTGATCTCCGGCACCAGGAAGGTCCGGCGCAGCGGCCCGGGCCCGGGGGGCGCCGCCTCCACCATGGCTGCCGCTGCGCCCCGCGCCGCCGCTCGCCCGCCGCCGCCGCCGCCGCAGCCCCGGCCTCCAGCCTCCCGGCCCGGCCTCCCCGCCAGGTGCGGCCGCGTCCGCGACGCTGCGTCCGCCCCGCCCCGCCCGGGGCGGAGCCCAGGTGCGCCCGCCCCGCGCCCGCCGCGCCCGGTCCTCCCGCGGGGCGGGGCGGAGGCTGCGGCCGTGTGCGCGCCGTGTGTGCGCGCGCCCGTGTGCGCGCGCGCCCGTGTGCGCGTGGGCGCCGGAGGGGCGAGGACCCTCTGCCGCGTGCGCGCGCTCAGGGAGCTCTGTGCGGCTGGCCCTGCGCCCCCGGGGGCGCCGTGCGTGGCTGCACCTGTTCTCCTTGAGCATCCAGAATGTGCTATGCACCTGTGCGTGTCCCCGCGGTATCAGGTGCTGATCCAGTGTGTATTTGATGCGCATAGGTGTGTGTTGTGTGTCTGAGGATCTGTGCTGTGAGGTGTCTGTGTGCGGAGGATGGAGGAGCGATGAGTGTGTATCTGTGTCGGTGGCTTCGTGAGTGTGTGCATTTGTGAATACCTGAATGTACTTGTGTTTTGTACAAGGGTTTGATTAAAGTCAATGAAGGAATATCTGAGGGACTCTGAGTGTGTGTGTGTACTTGTGACAACGTGTATCAATAAATGCATTTGAATGGGTATGATTGCAAATATCTGCATGTGCATTTGTGCTATCAACAGAATTTGTTGAGGCTCCAATCGTATGGAGATGAGGATGTATTCGTGTCCAAGCAGCGTGTTTGTATAAGAGTATTTGAGTGTTGTATGTACATACATGAGTGTATGTGGGACTGTATTTTTATGCATTCTGTGTATTCACATGAGTGTGTTTGTGGGTGACTGCACTCATACTGTGTCAGCCTCCAGTGACAGAATATGTAAACCGTGGAAGTGGGTACAACTGTGTAAGGATGTCCGTTTGTGGTGCATTTATTAGTGTGCATATTTATTTAGGAATTGCATATTTGTGTGAGTAAATATATTTGAGTGTGCTATGAGTCTGATTGTGTATGTTAGCATGGAGGTGTGTGACTATTGTTGTGTACAGTGTGCAGTTACTGGGTATATTTCTAAATGTCTGGGTGTATTCCTATGTGTGGATTTTTGTCTTAATATTTGCTTGTGGGTTCCATTGTGTGTTTGCGTCAAAACATCTGCTGTGTGCTTCTTAGTGTGTATAACAGTGAGCGCACAGTGTTTGTGTGTTAGGTCTTTGTGGGCCATATGTCTAGGTGTGTTTAAGTGGGTGTAATTGTGTATGTGTAAGTAAACATATGTGTTAGGGTTTGTATGTTTTTGCTTATGTGAGTGTTGACATGTGTCACTTTCTGTGTGCATGAAGCTGGTGCTTACTCTGTGAATCTGTGGGTGTTGCATGTGTGTGTGAGTGTGACAAGGTGCACATGTGTGGGTACCTGTTTTCTGAGTGTAAATGGAGTATCTGAACACATCTCTTTACACAGGAGTGCCTTTGTGGGGCTTGGGCGTGCCAGGTTGGGAATATACAGCTGTGGTTGTGTGCAGGTAGGCATTTGCCAGGAGTTGTGTTTGGAATGTCAGTGGGTGTGTGTGGGTATTTTTGTGTGTCCGGATGCATTTGTGCATCAGATATAAGAGACGGGTGGGTGACCCCACTGAAGGGATGTCAGTGTGAGTCGGTGTAGCTACAGCTACAGAGGGGTTTCCATCAGCACGGAACATGCAGTGTTTTCTTGACCAGGTGACACTATGAGATAAAAAACCTGACAGCCAGCCAATTCCCGACACCCTCTCCTGCCCGCCCCCAGCCCAGACGGGGTCCTTTGGCGCCACCTTTGTAGAAAGAAGTCTCTGACATACGTCACACATGGGTGTGAGTCCAGAGCGTGTGGCCAGGCATGGTGGGTGCGCCCGGAAGGGAGCTGGGCGTGGGCCTCCTGTCTGGATGTGCCCGTGCAGGAGCGGGTGTGGGCGCACAAAGAGGCAGTGTGTGCATGGAGCACACGTGAGCGTGCATGGAGCACACGTGAGCGTGTGTGCTCACGTGCCCAGCTCCTGTCCCTGAAAGACCTGCAAATCCTTTCCCCTGGGCCTCCCTCGGTTCCCCTCGGTGGGCTCCTGGCCCGGGAAGGCGTCCTGGCTCTGCCGGCGTGCCTACTGCCGTGCCCTCCTAGGAGCATGGCGTGTCCGCCAGCTCATGTGCGTGTTTGTTTTTCCCGGGAAGGTTCTCATGACCTCTGTGGGCCGAAAAGCCAAACACAGGCGAAGGCGGCGCCCCTGCTCGCCGGCACCCACCTCAGGGGGACACAGGCAGACAGGTTCTAGCCAGGAGAGTCCACAGGCCCTGCCTCTCCTGGGCCGGAGGGGCCTGGGGTGTCAGGAGCAGGGGCTGGGCCATACCCTCTCTGCCAGGGCCAGGGCCAAGGCCAGTGCCAGCGGCAAGGGCCTCCCCGGCCCAGCCCCCACACCGGGCCGACTGGAAGGGCGGGCTGCGCTGGGCCTCCCCACCCACAGGCTGCCAGGCTGTCCCACCCGCCCCCGGGGTCTGTTCTCTGGGCCTAGGCAGGTGCAGACACACAGCTCCCCGGAGTGCACCAGGCAGCGCCCACCCCTCCCCGCCTCTCCTGTGCCCTCTCCAATTCCATGCCTCCTGCCTCCTCTCTGCCTGAGGCTTCCTGCAGCCGCCAGGCCTCCTAACTCGCAGGGGACCAGCTGGGGTGGGGATGTGGGGATAGTTCAGAGTGTTAGTAGGTCAAGGGTTCAGGAATAGATTTGGGGGAGTGTATGATACCTCCAAAACCATCTGCACATGTGTGTGTGCGTGTGTGTGTGTGTGTGTGTGTGTGTGTCTGTATGTGTGTGTGTGTGTGTATGTGTGTGTACTTCTGGAATCCTACTAACAGACAACAAGTTTTGAGGGCTTTCTGTCCAGCCAGTCTCATCTGACCCTCACAACACCCCAGCCAAGAACGGGAGGGGGCAGAGCCCTGCACCCCTCTGCTGCCCTTCCTTCCGAGGCCGTGCCTTCCCTGCACACCCTGGGCTCCCGCCGGGCGTGGTGTGGCCTGTGGCTGTGGGGCTCTCAGAGCAGAGGAGGGGGTCCCCTCTCCGTGCGGCCGCAGTGAGCTGTGGGGACGGGACCCAGGTCTGGCCACTGTCTGTGCCCTCCCTGCCCACCGGTCCCACGGGGCCTGAGATTCGGCCGAAGCGGAGGAGGTCTCCTCTCAGAGACGGGGGCACTGGGAGACATTTCTGAAAGGTTTCACCATAATCACATGAACAAGCCGCACCGCGCAGGCTGAGGGCTGGCTGGCCGTCCTCTGACACTTGCCTTTAGAATAAGGTGAGCAGGCGTCTTGCTTTTGGCGGGACAGTCCCGATTTTTAACAATTTGTCCTGCGTCCCTCGGCGTTTTAAAAAAGTCCCGATTTTTGGAAAGATTCTTTTAAATCTTTTAGACTTTTTTAAAACGCCGCGGGGCAGGGGACAAATTATTAAAAATCGGGACGTCTGGTCACCTTACTTTAGAAGCAAAAAACAAACGTGTCAGCAGAGATGGTTTCGGCGGGAACAGGGCGGGATGAGGAGACACAGCGGGGCTGGGGCCTCCGGGCGGGCGGGCAGGCTGTGGAGGAGGAGGCCCAAGGAGGGAGGTGGCAGAGACAGGAATGAAGAGAAGGAGTTGGGAGGGAGCACATTCCAGCAGAGGGACCTGCAAGAGCAAAGGCCCTGGGGCAGGTGAGAGCTTGCCTTGGGAAGGTCACTGGGGCTGGAGGACAGCGAGGCCCAAGGAGGAAGAAGCTGGAAGGTTCTGGAATGCTTCTCAGCTTCCCCTCACCCCCAGCCCAGCCCATTAGTGCAGTGAACATTGATTCCTAGGAGCACAGAAATGACGGCAACCTGCCCGGTGCCACAGAGCAGGGAGCCCGGCCGGACAGGCATGAGGGGCACCAGGAGCTCCCGGCGGCCGGGGCTGGAGCCGCACGAGCAGCAGCACCCAAAGAGGTGGCTCTGACCCCAAGAATCAAGAACCAGCCTCGAGACCCCACTCGGACACACAGGATCAAACACAGTGCAGGTGAAGGACGGAGGCACACCTGAGGGGCAGGGAATTCCAAACATTTTGTGTAAACACTCCACCCTCAAGGAGGGGCGGGTCTTCGGTTAGTGATTTCCTCCCAAAAGGTGCAGCTCAAGAGGAAGGGGAGAGTGAGGAACCAGACAAAACTGCTCTTTCCTGGCTAGTGATGAAGGTCATCAGCAACAGTGACAATCAGGCTGATAATACATACTCTTTTAACATTTATACACCGAGCGGCCAGGGTATTATGATCTCTGAACACAAAATAATCTGGCCACTCACTCAGTGTATTTGTATCTCAAATGGGCACCAGAAGTATTCTAGACTTTTGCTGGAGATCAACCACCTATTGGCCCTGACCTTTCTATCAGCCAGTGCAAAGGGGAAAACTGATCAGGTGTACGATTTATAGTATCTTTGATATCAAATAAATGAGGTACTCAAGAGAAGTACACTGAGTGGCCAGATTATTATGTATTAAAACTATACACACACACACACACATATATATATATATATTTGATTTTTTACAGTGAGAGGAAGGGAGATGGATAGAGAGTTAGAAACATCGATGAGAGAGAAACATCAATCAGCTGCCTCCTGGCACACTCCCTATTGGGGATGTGCCCGCAACCAAGGTACATGCCCTTGACCAGAATCGAACTGGGACCTTTCAGTCCGCAGACCGACGCTCTATCCATTGAGCCTAACCAGTCAGGGCTATATATATATTTTTTTATTGATTTCAGAGAGAGGGGGAGAGAGAGATAGAAACATCAACGGTGAGAGAGAATCATTGATCGGCTGCCTCCTGCATGCCCCCCAGCAGCCTGGCCCTGGGCCCTGACTGGGAATGGAGCTGTGACCTCCTAGCCCCTAGGTCAACGCTCAGCCA